GCGGAATACCAAAAATCAGCTCAATTTCTGCAAGCATTTAGGAAAAAAGTGCGGAAAACCAAGTGGGACAGACTGGCAGACAGACAGACAGACGGACAGACGGACGGACAGACTCAGAGGAAACCTATAGTCCCCTCCGGTTTCACCGGTAGGGGACTAATAAAAAGAGACAACAATTTGGGTAAACAGGTCTGATTTAGTGACTAGCGGAGGAAAAACAAAGGATAACACAGCTATAATTAGAATCTATGAAGCTTAAAAATGCATTTAAGATATATTTCATTTCAAGGTTTTGATTGCGATGTATAAAAAATGTATAGAAGTACAGTCTATTTGAGAAGAGAAATTTATCAGGTTAAAAATAACGAAGTTATGGGATTTCGAGTGACTTCTTGATCACGTAATGAACATTTATAATTTTTCTAAAGGCTGCACAAAAAATCGCATCAGTGCATTTGATAAACGCAATTGTTCTTTCTTTTTATATAAATTAGTTAATCGCATCCTATTATATTTGGAAAGTCCTTGCAACAAGTCTGAATTATCCTTGTTTATTATATATTCCACAAGAACTGCAGACTTTCTATCACACGTGAGCTATTTTCTACTCTTCGTCACACTTTATCATAAATATGTTTTTAGCTCACCTGAGCCGAAATCTCAAGAGAGCTTTTCTGATCGAAATTTGTCCGTTGTCTATCGTCGTCTTCGTTTTCGTTTATTTTTTCAAAATTTCATTTTCTCCTGTAACAAGCTTGACACAAAGTATCCTTGGGTGAAAGAGACTCAAGTTTGTTCAAATGTAGGAATGGGCCCTCTTTCAAGGGGAGATAATTACAAATAAGTGAAAAATTAATGGCACCTTTTAAAGGTGCTTAGACACAGATTTGAAGTTAATATTTTCTCAAATTTTCTGTATAATATCACGACTTATATATTGCAATAGCATTTCACACGAAAATATAATTAAAAACTTATTTTATCCGGAAATTATTGGAACTACGAATTCCTGGACGCGTTTGATTAACACATCCTTGCACTTTCACAAATTTTATCTTTATCCTTAACATTTAAGAAAAGAAGCGATTTTGTTGTGTATTAATGAAAAACATTACATCTATAATCCAGAAAATTCAGAGTAGAAATGTGCGAAAGCAAACCCCCTCACTAATATCGTCAGTCCGTGCTCAGTGTTGTGTACAGAGTTTAACAAATTGAATACACCCGTGAAACGTAAACTGTTTTTGTAAACAGGGCACGAGCTCTGTTATTGTTAATGTTTACGATTCACCGGGTGTGTTCAATTGTTAAAGTCTGCGCACACCACTGAGCACGGACTGACAATACTGTGAGTGAGTTTTGCTTTCGAACATTTCTACTTTGAATTTTCTGGATTATAGTTTTAATATTTTTCATTGATACACAACAAAATTGCCACTTTTCTTAAGTATTAAGAATAAAATTAAAAATTGTGAAAGTGCAAGGATGTGTCAATCAAACGCGTTCAGAAATTTAAAGTTTCAATAACTACCAGATGAAATAAGATTTTTATTATATTTTAGTATGAAATGCTATAGCAACATATAAGTCATGAAAGTATACAGAAAATTTGAGAAAATATTAACTTCAAATCTGTGTCCAAGCACCTTTAAAAAATCTTCTTCTCAAGAAACCCGGGCCAGGAAAGATGAAACTAATGAGGAAACATCCTCAAGTAGTGTTGATTCAAGTTTATTCAAATCATGACCCCCAGGGGATACAATGGGGCTATAGTGGACAATCAAAGTTTAACATAGGAATATATAGGAAAAATCTTCTCAAGAACAACCTAGCCATTACTGGTAATATTTATATGGAAGCATCCTCAGGTAGTGTAGATTCAAGTTTATAAAAATCAAAGTATTACATAGGAATATATAGGAAAAATCCTCTCAAGAACAACAAAACCATGATTAGTCATATTTATGTGGAAGCATCCTCAGGTTGTGTAGATTCAAGTTTGTTCAAATCATGACCATTGGGTTTAGAATGGAGCCACAATGGACGAGAAAAGTTTTACTTAGGAATACATAGGAAAAATCTTCTTTTCAAGAACAGCCAAGCCATGATTTGTCATACAGGTAACTCTTGATGGCTCGAACTTCCATCTCTCGAAGTTCTTGATCGCTCGAAGTGAGTCTCCGGTCCCGAATTTTTCCCCTATATAATAACCAAATTTACTCTTGATTTCTCGAACTCTTGATCTCTCGAAACCCTTGATCCCTCGAAGTCAAAATGCGGTCCTGTTATGCATATTCTATTGGAATTTACCCTCGAGACCTCGAAGTGGCTATGTGTATACAAGGTTATATAATTAGCACCTTTACCTGGACATTTAAATGGCCCCAGGCAGAAGTCGCGGGTCTCGAGGAACGAGATGTTTATTCAGGTAACACTTATGCTGTGAGGTGATAATTGGTTTATAATTAATCATATTTAGCCTATATGCTGTTTAAATATTTATCAACGTCTGTCTTACGATAATTTAGAGACGCAGTGTAGTGAAAAGTAGTAGTCGGTTAAAAGACGAAATACTAATTTAATTTTTATTTCGAGTCAGTGTCAAAGTTAAACGAAATATGAAAAAGCTGAAACAGCCTCAATGTCAATACGACGAGTATTATTAGACAAATACAGAATTGCGTTCAATGATCATGTTTGGAATATTCAATGCTATGTACGACACTGTAAAATGTCGTTTTTATGTAACGAATGTGTAGTATGATGTCCGTATTACAAAGAATTAATAAATATATATGAAATGACTATATACATTTTTGCTTTACTCAATTTAATGAAATATTCATCTAAATTACGAAAAAATATCGTTGTTTTATAAAAACCACATGTAAGAGGTTAGCACTGCATGAAAATCATTACATCCGGTAAGAATAATTTTAAAACCTGTCAACAAACTCAGAAAATTCCGGACTCTTGAAAACTCGAACTCTTGATCTCTCGAAATTTTTCCTCGGTCCCACGGACTTCGAGATATCAAGAGTTACCTGTATTTATGTGGAAGCATCCTTAGGTAGTGTAGATTCCAGTTTGTTCAAATGACGAGCCCTGGAGGTAGGGTAGAGCCACAGTGGATGATTAAATTTTTTGATAGGAGAATTTTTAAAAGATCTTTTCAAGAAAAGCGAAGCCTTTATTGGAAACATTTATATTGAAATATCCTCAGGTAGTGTAGATTCAAGTTTGAATTTACCCCTGGGGTAGGCTTGGGTCACATTGGACAATGATATTTTTTTTACATAGGACTTTATAGAAAAAAAATCTTTTAAAATCTTGTTCTCAAGAACAACAAATCCATGATTGATCATATTTATATGGAAGCATCCTCAGGTAGTGTAGATTCCAGTTTGTTCAAATGACGAACTCTGGAGGAAGGGGAGAGCCAAAGAGGATGATCAAATTTTTAGATAGGAAAATTTTTTAAAATCTTTTCAAGAAAAGCAAAGCCATTATTGGAAACATTTATATGGAAACATCCTCAGGTAGTGTAGATTCAAGTTTGATCAAATCATGACCCCTGGGGTAGGGTGGGGTCACAATGGACAATTGAATTTTTACTTAGGATTTTATAGGAAAAATCTTTTAAAATCTTGTTCTCAAGAACAACAAATCCATGATTGGTCATATTTATATATATGGAAGCATCCTCGGGTAGTGTAGATTCAGATTTGATCAAATCATGATCTTCGGGGGGGGGGGGGGGTTAAGAGCACAATGAAAGTTCAAATTTATTGGGAAGAAAAACCAAGAAATGTAAGCATCCTTAGTGTAAACTCAAGTTTGTTCAAATCATATCCCCACCCCCTGTTTTAGGGGTAGGTCGGGGCTACTTATGCATTTATACTTTTTAATACTGAGCTAATTTCTGCTTTTTTCCTAGGCACAGTGCTCAGGTGAGCGATGTGGCCCGGGGGCCTCTTGCCATCCCCTGCCATCCCCTGGCAAAATTTAATAGGAGAACATACTTTTCTTATAATTAAAAAAAATACAATTTATTCTAATTTATCACTTTCGCATGCCTATATTTACCTGATTTATAGAATTTGCAGGTAGCTATGGACAAGAAAAGTGGAGCTTTTCACATTCTACTTTTTATAATTTTTTGAATACATATCAGATATGAACAATGAAATATGATATCATTGTTGATTTATGAAATACGTACATGTAGGTGAAATAACGATCACCGTTCGATATTTAAGAAAACTAAAAAAAACAAACAAATAAAATCCCTGTAACATCGTCTTATTTGTAAGTAAAGAACCCTCTGGACCAGAATATTGTTAAGTTAACAAGTCCTCACAGAACTAAATAGGTGTTCAATCCATTACGTGAAGTAAAAGTGTTTAAACCACACATCTACATTTAGAAACATAATAATATTACTCCCAAAATGTAATGACTAATGATAATCCATTTTTCGCGTCCATCAAAGAAACATAATTTTCTTCCCTGGAAAAAATAGAAAAGTAATTTAAGCAAATGCTGTTTGATTACTGTTCAAAGCAAGGGTCTATCAAGCTGAAATACTGCCATTGTCAATCTAGAATTTTTAATAGATTCAATAAAGACCTTTTTTCATAGGGAGTTTTGATTATTGTGCAGACCCGGCCAATGATGAGTAATCATTTATTGTAATTGTAGAATATGTTCAAAATGCGATAATGTAGTTCACATAATTAATATTTTAATAGGTGAAGTTATAGTAGAAGAACAAGTGCGAGGGGGGTTTTGTTATAACGACACTAAAAAACTTGGGATTCATATAGACTGTGATTTAAATTCTACAAGGATTGTAATTGAAGAAGGTTCGAGCGATACCAAAAATTGTCAAAACTCCAATAACTCTCACAAAGGAAGCGTCTCCTGTGTTGTTGGAGGCTATGATGAAACGTACAAAATGTTGGAGTTTACCTTAACATCCAATGACTCGGAGAACGCCGGGAAATCAATCTTGGTAAATACCACGTGTGATAACGGAACTGATCAGAGTAATTATGTCACACTGTATCCTTGTTGTAAGTATATTTCAGTTTCGCATTAGATATTAGTCCTTGAAAAGAGAACTAAATGGATAAGATGAAAATTTATAACGTACGATTTTCATGGATTTTGAATATCTCGCTGGCTTACTACAGTGAAACACGCTTATAGCGAACACGCTTTTAATAAATTAAGGTAGGTCGCGGGTTTACTGCATTAAAATTCTTACGAGAAAACATATCCTAAAAATTTGATATAATGTTCCTTAGGATTTGCGGCATATTATCTGAAATTCTTATTAAATTAGTCTAAGTGGTTTAAATGCTATATTACTGTAAACATGGTATAGTTTTCGGTACTTTTTTACGCTTAACTATAGAAATACATAGGAAAATTGCTTTTTTAAAACAATGTTATCGAAAGAGTTTCTTTAGAAAAGCTCGGATAATTTTTAAAGACGTAGATGAATTACTCAGAAATTTCATAATATCAAGATGAGGTAGAATAAAAACTATTGAGGTAAAAACAATCAATATGTCTTCTCGCGTTTTTTTTTTTTTTTTTTTTTTTGCTAAATAATTTTAAAGTTTGCTTTTATATTGCCAAAATGTTGCGTTTATGGCGTTATTTACATGTATGACTAAAACGTCATATATTGAACGTAATCACGTTTACATATAAGTACATGTATCTTTATATTTGGAATATACAAGATCTAAAAGGTGACATAGATGCACACTGTTATTTTATTCATCATTTCACTTATTGCGGAAACATGTCATGAAGAACAGCAGCTTATCTATTCTGGTATTGTGAAATTCATATTCTGCCCAGGAAGTCAAAATGATCGGTATATTGATATAAACATTCTTCGTGCATTAGAATTAATATGCAGCGACAACACTGCGATTGATAATATATTAATTCAAGTAATGTTGGGATGTTCCAGTTCATTATTAAGATTTCAAGTATAATACCTGAATTTTATCACTTCATTCGAAAGCGGTAAAGAAAAAAATCCCACCCCACTGCTGAGGATGGGGGGTGGGGTGGGGGTACCGACAATGTTCTTTTTATATCAATCGCAAGTAAGTATATAGTCCGAACTCTCAAACATTTGTTCTTTCTTGTTTTTTTTCTTTATCAATTTTTGATCGGCAAAATGTAAAATACTTGCATTCAGCTTATACACAGACAGCTTAATTTTGTTATGCAGAAAAAAAATGTACTTGATATTTGTGTTTCGTAATAAATGTTGTACATTTTTATCTGTTTACAGCGTCATAAAGGTCCTATATGCCGTGTGTTTGTATGAATTTATTTTAACATGTTTTATGCATTTCACTATGATAAATCAATTCCTTGTTAGCGTGCATATAAAGAACGACTTTATCAGATTCAAATACAAAATATTTTTTTAAAAAAAAGAGGAAAATGCAAATGTAATTAAAGTTCATCCGGGTTTTTTTTTTGTGTTGAGGATTTATTTTGTCCAAAAAATAACAATTTTGGGGTTTTTTTTCCGGCTGTGATGATCAAATATGGTATATTACACACCTTCCCTTCGTTGCACATTACGTGCATACATACAGCCTTTCACTTTTTCGGCTTAGCAATTTACCTTAACTTTCTTCTCGCATGCCATATCTTTAATTTAACATGGACTCATTTAGAAGTTTTGTATCATTTACAATATAAATTATTCCTTGCATACTGCATCGCATTTATTATGTTTAAGTAGTTTCTTCTTATACATTACACATATAATCAGAGCAGAATTCAAACATATAATACGCTTGGTTCATACATTTACGAGGTTTACGGACAATAACATGTACCTTCTATGCTTCATACGGACTACTAGTATTCTATTGCTAAAGTAATTTTCAGAGAAATAAACGTGAAGCAATGCAACGTCGCCTTTTTGACATAACTGACGTCATAATTAAATGTGCAAAAAACAACCGATCGAATCGTCGAAATCGTGTACCGAAATTGATGACAAAAGCAAACCCGCAACCTACCTTAAAAAACTAACAGCAAATCGTTTTCATTCCCTGTGTGTTTGAAATATATTGTAAACGGATATAGCGAATAACACTTATAATAAATCAAATTCGTCCGTCGCTGGTACTTCACATAAGCATGTTCTACTGTATCAGTTTTAGAGATGGAATACATGAGATTTAATATCTTAATTTTATCCTTCCTCATTTTTAGTTTCATGTTTCATGGCAAATGTCACGCACAACGACACACACGCCTTTTTTATGTGCAAACACAGTTTCTTCAACGTGTCAAAGCAGATAAGTATTATTGATTGGGCTGATGGGGTCCCTGTCGAAACATGCAAATGGAACGAGAGTACATCAGCAACTGAATGCAATATCCAAAACCACGGTAAACTACTGACATGAAAGTCAAATCTTCTTTGTCTTACTAAAGAAAAATCCCCTCCTTTCTAAAAGGACAGAAACAGAAACCTTGATTTTATCCAGGATAAAACTATACCATTCAGTCGACGGAATTGTAACTGAGTGCCCACTTAAAGGTCTTAGTGAAGTCCCTGAAAGAAACCCGTCTGTGACTTCTCGGTGATCTTGCAATTTTCATTCAGTCGACTGAATGTCAGATAAATTTCATGGCATTTATTTCAAAATTGTATCTTTTTTCAATTATCTGCTTAATTTTTTATCTAATCAATTTTAATTTTTTCCCTTTGTGACGAAGTTGATTTTTTTTTTGTATATACTGTTTTAATTTTGGTTTTAACGGGTTTCCTTACTATTGAGGTTGTTTTGTTACGAGTATATAAAGGGACCGGTTTTGTCGGAGTGGTCAGATCTAGTTTGGTGTCCGGTAGCGTGACCAGCCGGAGGTGTGCCACGTTTGCTTTATCCCCTGGATGATTATACAAGTAGCGAATATATTTCGGTGAGATATAGCACCGAATTTAACGGGTAGCCATATAACTTGTTAGGCGGACTATTGCAGCGTGTGTATGCAGTTCTAGCCGGTAAGAGTGTTCGAATAATGTAAATAGTTGGTTTATTGTTATAATTTCCGGTTTTCAGTTGTAATATAGGTTAGGTTTTTGTAAACGTAAATTCATTTCAGTGCGTAAGGTGCTGAGAGAATATTGTGCACATAGAAGACGGGCTGAGGGTCAGTTGACGACTGTTATAAGCGTTTGAGGTCAGTGGGGAGCGTTGGATGGAGGGCCAGTCGTGTAATGTCCAATCGTCGATGCTGAACAGGAACCGATGTTGGTAGGATAACCGCAGTGGGAGGCGATAGACCCGGGGCTACGGTTAAAGCAACTACCACGTGGTGACGAGAGAACGGCACAGGACTTGGCGTTCCTAGATGAGTGCTAATGGCGGATGCACGTGTGGTGTGACTTCCGGTGAACATTTATTAGCAGTTGTGATATAGTAACTATTGAGTAACTTTCAGCTGTTTAAGAAAAGGAAATTATTTTTTGAAGTATATATAATTATTAACTAAAATTATTTGAGCTTTTTCGGAATATTATTTAAGTCAATTTTGGTGAATTTTTCATTTGATATAATATCTGATACTTACTGAATCAGAATTGTAGAAGTTAATATTGAATTAATGTAAAGTACCGGAATTGGTGAAAACTGAGTTAACAGTTTACTATTACATTTATTTCTTTTCGGTGTGTGAGCCTGTATGTGAGAGTGAGTGAGTGACATAGAATTTATTTGTTTTCTATTTTATTTATTTTGTGTTAATAAATTTATTTGTTTATTCTGATTGATATTGTTTTCCTTCTCAACTCTACAAAATCCAAAAGAACTCATTACATATGGTGGCAGCGGTGGGATTTTGTAGGGGTTGGTTGAGATGGAAAAATATCTATTAGAATTAACATTTAGGTCAGTTTTGAAAAAGTTCAATGAAATACAGTAAGATAATTTAAAAGAAAAGTTATTTGTAGATAACAGTCAAACTGAAAGAGTACTCATTGTGTGGTTTTGTTGTTGTGTTGTGGTAGTTGGTTGAAGTCCAAGATGTCGTTACCTAGTTGGGTGCAGGAAGCCATTGGTAAGGGTGAGGATTTATCGGTTTGTCTAGAGATGTGGAAACACGCCAGCGCAGTGGAAAGAGAGGAGCGTATGGCCAGACGGGAGAGAGAAAAGGAGGAAATCGAAATTCAGAGACTACAGCTGGAGAAGGATGCTGAGGAAAAGAAACTGCTTCACGAGAGGGACTTAGAAGAAAAGAAACTGCTCCATGAAAAAGAGTTGGAGGAAAGGAAATTTCTTCATGAGAAAGACTTAGAGCAAAGAAAATTAGAGGTAAGAATGAGAGAACTAGATTTACAGCAGCAAGCCCTGAAAGAGAAGCCACATGGTTCATCGCCAGATACAGGAGACAAAGAAACAAAACATGAGGTAAAGTTTGTACTACCCAAATACGTTGAAGGGGAAGATATAGATGTATTCTTGAGGTCTTTCGAGCGATTAGCTACACTTCATAAGTGGGACAAATCAGAATGGGCGTTGCGTTTGGTACCTCAGCTTACAGGTAAGGCCTTAGATACGTACGCACGGTTAGGCGATGGGGAAGCTAGCGACTATGATGTAATTAAGAAAGCCATTCTTAAGAGGTACAACCTCACAGCTAGTACTTACAAAGACAAATTCAGAGGGTGCAGACAATATCCTACTGAAACGTTTCGAGAGTTTCATAGTCGTGCAGTGAATTATTTTGATCACTGGTGTCAAATGGAAAAAGTAAATCAGAGTTACAATGTTCTGGTAGATGTTATTATGAGAGAGCAGCTCATTAACAGTTCTTCGAAAGATTTACAAATTTGGTTGAAAGAGAGACAACCTAAGACGGTAGGTGAAATGGTAGATTTGGCTGAAGCATATCAAAATGCACATCAAGGGTCGATGGTGACCAACAAAGCTGTTGGGTATACCAAGGATATGAAAGGTAAGATTATTGGGGCAAAGGGCAACACAAGTCCGTTGGTAAACCATCAGAACAAATTTGAGAAGAAATGTTTTCTCTGTAATAGAGTGGGTCATTTCATGAGTAGTTGTCCTTTACGCAAGCAAAGTAGTAAAAGTACAGTTGGTTGGAAATCAACTGGAGATAAACAAAGTACCGTTCAAGCAAGTAGTGGTAAAGAAAAAGCAGGACTAATTCACTCCCCTACTAAGTGTAAGGAGGGCATTTCTGTAGAACTTCCTGTTTTAGTTAAAGATAAGATTGAAGTTATTCCAGATAACAGAGAAAGAGGTCTGAAAATAGAGGAAGGTTTTGTGAACGGTAAGAGCGCTTCAGTACTTAGAGATACAGGGTGTACATCTATACTGGTTTCGGAAAAACTGGTTACATCGGATGATAAGACTGGAGCAATGAGTGAAGTTACACTTGCTAATGGCAGTTGTCAACAGTGTCCAGAGGTCTGGATACATGTGGACACACCGTATGTAAGAGGTAAGGTAGTGGCATTGGTGCTTAACTCTCCTTTTGCTGATTTAATAGTAGGTAATTATACCAGAGTTGATATTCCTGATGAAATACAAACTGATGTGAGAGAAAAGGTGGACGAGGCTTGTCAAGCAGTGGAAACAAGATCTGCAGCAAAACGGAAAGTTCAGGTAGATGAGAAACTAGAGCTCAGTTCTGACATGAATGACATGGGTTCAAAGGAAGAGTGGATACAAGAGCAAGGTAAGGATCCTAGTCTTGATAGATTAAGAAAGTGTGCAGATAATAGTGGTGCAGAGGATGATGACAGTTACATAACTAAGGAGAAGGGTTTGTTGTATAGAGTTTTCAATACAGATAAAGATACTCTTCACAAACAGCTTGTAGTACCAGAAAAATTTAGAGAGCAAATACTTTCGATGGGTCATGACATACCACTAGCAGGACATCTTGGTATTAAGAAGACAAGAGAAAGAATTCTGAAAAACTTCTTCTGGCCAGGCATCTTTGAGGACACTAAGAGGTATTGTAAATCATGTCCCAAGTGTCAGAAGGGAACATCCAAAACTAAAGTAAGTAAAGTGCCTTTAGTTCAGGTGCCGCCAATCGAGACGCCGTTTCAAAGGGTAGCTATTGATATGGTGGGCCCATTACCCAGAACAAAGAGAGGTAATCAATACATTCTAGTTCTATGTGATTACGCAACAAGATATCCTGAGGCGATACCACTTAAGAGTCAAGAGGCAGAAGTGGTAGCTGAGGCGTTAGTGGAAGTGTTTTCAAGAGTAGGAGTCCCAAAGGAGATACTATCAGACCAAGGTACAAACTTTATGTCTTCTCTTATGACAGAGTTATGTCGTTTGTTAAGCATTCGTAAGTTAAACACCACACCGTACCACCCACAGGCAAACGGTTTGGTGGAAAGGTTCAACGGCACACTCAAGAGAATGCTTCAAATATATGCACAAGACGAGCCAGGTAAGTGGGACAAGTTGTTACCGTACTTATTATTTGCCTATAGAGAAGTCCCACAGGAGTCCACTGGATTCTCTCCTTTCGAGTTGATGTATGGAAGGTTTGTAAGAGGTCCTTTGACCATTCTTAGAGAAAGCATTGAGGGAGAGAGTGAAGATGAAGATCGTCAGTTGCAACCTTCAGTACTTAGCTTCATTATAGAAACCAGGGAGAAGTTGGCAAAAATGGCCGACATTGTTCTAGAGAATGAGGTAGGTAGTAAGAAGGAACAGAAAAGGTACTACGATCGGACAGCTAGGCACAGGTCTTTTGAGGTTGGAGAAAAGGTACTAGTTTTGTTACCTACAAGTACAAGAAAGCTGTTGGCTCAGTGGAAGGGACCTGTTACTATTACCGAGAAGGTAAGTCCCGTAGATTATAGGGTAAGGTACGATAATGGGGTAACTAAGGTCTACCATGTCAATATGTTAAAGAGATGGATAGACAGAGAAGTTAAACATGAAGTGGCGACAGCGGTGTGTTCGCCAGACGTCACTGATGACGACAGTGAGTGGATAGGAAATCCTTTAATGGATGTAACAGATACAGTGAGGGATGTGAAGATAGCACAGACGCTAACACATGAACAGAAAGGTGAGTTACAGAGTTGTTTAGAAAAGTTCAGTAGTGTGTTGACAAATGTACCAGGTAGAACTAGCTTACTGAAACATCAGGTAGTAACTACTAGTGAGGTTCCTGTGTGTCAAAAGGCATATCAGATTCCACATATGCTGAGAGACGAGGTGAAGAAGGAACTATCTGCAATGATTGAGGCAGGTATTGTCGAACAGTCAGTCAGTCCTTATGCATCACCAGACGTTATCATACCTAAGAAGGACAAAAGTATCAGGTTTTGCGTAGATTATCGGAGATTAAACCAGGTTACAGTGTTCGATCCAGAACCTAATGCTCAAATTGAGGATATCATTGACCGACTAGGTGAGGCTAAGTATCTCAGTAAGATAGATTTGACGAAGGGTTATTGGCAGATTACACTAGAGGATGACGCCAAAGAAAAAAGTGCATTCATCACTCCATTTGGTCATTATCAGTTCACTGTAATGCCATTTGGAATGATGAATTCGGCAGCCACTTTTAACAGGTTGGTTAGACAAATACTAGCAGGTCATCAGGAGTATTCAGATTCCTTTATTGACGATATTATTATCTTCAGTAAGGATTGGCCTAGTCACATTGAACACATTACGTTAGTTTTAAGATCTATTCAGGACGCAGGATTGACGGCCAATCCGAAGAAGTGTGAGTTTGGATGTAGAGAAATGGAATTTCTTGGACATCAGGTCGGGAATGGTCAGGTAAGACCAATTTCAGACAAAGTACAGGCTATTTTAGATATTCCTGTTCCGACAAAGAAGAAAGAAGTGAGATCATTCTTGGGGTCCATTAACTTTTATAGAAAGTTTATTCCAAATTTTTCTCATTTGTCTGCTGCATTATCTGACGTTACTAGGAAAACCCAACCAAACAAAGTAATTTGGACAGAGGAGCTTGATAGGGTATTTAATCAGCTGAAAAAGAAACTGGTAAGTGCACCTGTACTCTGGAATCCAGACTTTACATTAGTGTTTGTGTTACAAACAGATGCAAGCGACAGAGGACTGGGGGCGGTCTTATTGCAGGAGAAGGATACAGAGTATCATCCAATCGTATACCTCAGTAAGAAATTACTCCCCAGGGAACAGAACTTCGCCATTGTGGAGAAGGAGTGTTATGCCATAGTTTGGGCAGTGCAGCGTCTGCGGAACTACTTGTATGGTAAGGATTTCATCATAGAGTCAGATCACAGAGCGTTGCAGTGGCTTAAGACGATGAAGTCCCAAAATCCTAGACTTCTCCGTTGGAGCCTGGTGTTACAGGAGTACAAATATACAGTTAGACATATTCCTGGCAAGGACAACAAAATGGCGGACTTCCTGTCAAGAAAGAGTTAGATTGTTCGTCAATATTCTTTGGATTTATTTACAATATGAATATTGGTAAATAAATGGGGGCGTGTGTGACGAAGTTGATTTTTTTTTGTATATACTGTTTTAATTTTGGTTTTAACGGGTTTCCTTACTATTGAGGTTGTTTTGTTACGAGTATATAAAGGGACCGGTTTTGTCGGAGTGGTCAGATCTAGTTTGGTGTCCGGTAGCGTGACCAGCCGGAGGTGTGCCACGTTTGCTTTATCCCCTGCATGATTATACAAGTAGCGAATATATTTCGGTGAGATATAGCACCGAATTTAACGGGTAGCCATATAACTTGTTAGGCGGACTATTGCAGCGTGTGTATGCAGTTCAAGCCGGTAAGAGTGTTCGAATAATGTAAATAGTTGGTTTATTGTTATAATTTCCGGTTTTCAGTTGTAATATAGGTTAGGTTTTTGTAAACGTAAATTCATTTCAGTGCGTAAGGTGCTGAGAGAATATTGTGCACATAGAAGACGGGCTGAGGGTCAGTTGACGACTGTTATAAGCGTTTGAGGTCAGTGGGGAGCGTTGGATGGAGGGCCAGTCGTGTAATGTCCAATCGTCGATGCTGAACAGGAACCGATGTTGGTAGGATAACCGCAGTGGGAGGCGATAGACCCGGGGCTACGATTAAAGCAACTACCACGTGGTGACGAGAGAACGGCACAGGACTTGGCGTTCCTAGATGAGTGCTAATGGCGGATGCACGTGTGGTGTGACTTCCGGTGAACATTTATAAGCAGTTGTGATATAGTAACTATTGAGTAACTTTCAGCTGTTTAAGAAAAGGAAATTATTTTTTGAAGTATATATAATTGTTAACTAAAATTATTTGAGCTTTTTCGGAATATTATTTAAGTCAATTTTGGTGAATTTTTCATTTGATATAATATCTGATACTTACTGAATCAGAATTGTAGAAGTTAATATTGAATTAATGTAAAGTACCGGAATTGGTGAAAACTGAGTTAACAGTTTACTATTACATTTATTTCTTTTCGGTGTGTGAGCCTGTATGTGAGAGTGAGTGAGTGACATAGAATTTATTTGTTTTCTATTTTATTTATTTTGTGTTAATAAATTTATTTGTTTATTCTGATTGATATTGTTTTCCTTCTCAACTCTACAAAATCCAAAAGAACTCATTACACCCTTATTATAATGTTTATATTATATATTTTCGATTTTATAAAAAAGCAAACCTAAAAATTGCTTGACGATCCAAGGGGTCGAACAGTGTCATAATTATATACTAAGGGAATGATCTCAATAAATGGGTAGAAATCATATTGGGACAACTAGGTCACCTGTTATATCGAGGAGTTTGGCGATGTGTATATATCTTGTAAATATCTTGTATATTTTATGTTAATTTCGCGGAATTTGAGCGAAAAATTATCATTACACATCTCTCTCTCTCGGATAATGACAATTATGCGACGGGCACCCGTTTTTTAAAGACATGATTCGAGATAAATGTTCACCATACAGAACTTCTAAAAAATGATATAAAATAATTTTAAAATGATTTTTTTAAAATTTTTAAACATCATTTGATTTAAAGAATTAAAATACAAAATTTAAAATATTGAGTAACTTCCACAAGAGGCATAAATAAATAATTCTGTCTTTACTTCCACCTATGAAATTCCATGACAATAATCTCATTAGACGAACATAAAAAAATGCCAAAATATATAAGATCTGACACAGACACACAAAATAAAATAAGGAAGAAGTTTTATATTGTGTTAAAGTAATTTCATCGCTATCCTCAATTTTTCAAAATCAATTTTCATTCCGAACGGTAAAAAAAATGCATTTGCAGTAATTCGATTAATTTTATGAATTTAACAACTGATATGTTACGTGAAATAAGTGAATGGAGAGAGAAATATCGTAGATAATCACACTTTTTCCGACATCTTATTTTAGCGAGATAGGTTTTTAGAATTTTTAAGCGAGACAAAAATTTTCACGAATTTAGTCAATGTTTTATAAAAAAAAAAAAAATATACGCGAGAATGAAACTTTCGCGAACAGGCCATCTTGCAAAACAATGCAAAAAAAAGTTATCGAACAAAAAACTAACTTACACGGTCTAAAATATTGCATGCATCAAATCAATTTTCGCACACGCCAATTCTAGTGATGGGAGCTATGATAAATTGATGCGTCAACAATACAATTATATCGCGCAATGATTCAATTAATTTTTCCAGAAACAAAATATTGATATATTCAATTATTCGAGTTTATGTCAGTTTAGTGCACATGTTTAATATTAAAAGTGTAATGCAGAAGGCGAATAGAACAATTAGATTATCTAAATATGAACTTGGAATATATTAAAGAATTATATAACCCTGATATAGGACACCCTCTTGGAATCGATGGCTTCATTGCAAAATATACACCTGGGCGAGTTTTTCTATGCAGTATGGACAGGCAAAGCATTGAAATGATTCTTGAAGGAGGTAAAGTACTAGAATATGCGAAAGTAATTAATGAATTGGAACTTTTGCAAAGCATTAAAGAATAATAATTTGTTTCAAGCAATTTTTCGAATGAAATCCATTACAAATTTTCCGCTTATTATAACTCTACTCCTATCTTAACACAAACTGTGAATTTGTCTAATCCGGATGTTGTTTATTCGAATCTCCTGCCTAATACGATGTTGACTGTCAGTCCCTTTAAGTAAATTCAATTGTTTAAAATGTTCTCTAATCCGAAATGTTGTTTCACCCGACCAATATCTATGGAACGACTGGTGTCCAGATTAGACAAGTTTTACAGTACTCTATGCCCTTATTGTGAATGCATCAATAAGGCCACACCAATTTAATTTCTTGTTCGTCGGACATTTGATGAAAAAAGTACGAGCGGGCAAGCGGTTAAATAATAATATTATTTCTTTTTTGTAGGCAAAATTTTTAGGCGGGGCGTGAAAAAATTTGAGCGGACAATTTTTTTTTTCTGATCTGAAGAGTAAGCAGATTTAAAATACGAAAAATAGAGCGGAAATGGAATAGAAAATAGCACAGAATTTCCATGGCTTGGGAAATTGAAATTGATATTATTTGTTTTGCTTAACGAGGTTCTCTCCTGAGCTTTTGAGCAAATTTTTATCTTAACCTATATTTCAAAAATTCTGCATAATGTTTTAATTCTTACAATAAATTTGGATTCTACAATGCCAATTTAACTATATTCAATTAAAACTCCATGATTAAATTCCATACTAAAAGCATTAAGTGAGGAACTATATTTTGTGGCGGAAGGTTTTTTAGAAGAAAATGATCATTTTTTCTCTTTCGAAGTATTTAAAGTATGCTAAGTTTGGATTCCTATTTTTACATGCAGTCTGCACACATAGTTATTTTGTGCAGTGGACTGTTTTATATTGGTCCTAAATTATCTATTAAATAAACTGTCATGAATTCTATCATCATATATGATAAATATAGGAAATATATTGTAAACATGAAGAAAAAAATAGCCCTAATTTTAGCTTAAAATTAGCACTGTTTTAGTAATATCTAAAAATTAACATCACAGACCCCCACTTTTGATTTTCTTTTCTGAATATATATGATACCTTTAACCATTGTTCTTAAATTCAGTAAAATGTCATTACTTTCAAACGATCTTTTTGCTTGTCAAATTTTTAATGCCAGAAAAATGAAAATGTTTGAGTGCAAAAAGGTCAAATAATTGAACATGCGGAGTAATTGAAAAATTTCTTCGTTGTCACAAATTTTAATGTGTCTGTTTAAGATGAAATAAGACTGTTTTTGTCCCCATTATTTATTTGAACAAAAATTATTGGAGTAGAAACTTTAAAATTGATTTATGTGTAAGACATATTTACAGTGCAAAAGGGTCAAACTAAATGCTCTGTAGCACCAAAAGAAGCGCATTGACCCCCATTTTTTGTTTTGATTTTTAATAAAGCTATGTGCATAAGTTCTAAAAATATACTTGATAAAAAATTCTCATTACTTTTGATGGCAGGATCCAACCTCCTTAAATACGAGCGCGCGGGACCGACGAACAAATTTTTGTATTGGTTTGGCCTAACCGCTTATTATTAATCTGCGTATGTCTCAACACATACTTTATGACCCAATTGTGAAGGCATCAGTAACCAGCTACTTGATCTTATCCCTCTTTTTATTTATAATAATCTCTCTTAAATAGAATTATATTGTTTGTTTGTTTTTTTTTTTTAAATCTCTTTATTGTATAATTTTTATTTTTATTTTATTTTTTCATATTTTTTAGGGAGTTTAACAAGTGGACAGGAAGGCCAATATGTGTACTGTGGTGTAGATACAGCTATTTATGTAACACTGATATGGTCAATTTTTGAATCATTTAGATTTATTTATTGATAAACATCTTCATTTTTTTAAAATCATTTTTATACATGTACTTTGTTTTTACTTTCGCTTCATGGAAGAAAATTAGAACGTAAGCGGTAATGCTTGACAACAACCTCAACTTTGATTATTAAACCATTCAATTGCTTTCAATTTTATTGCAAATAACACAAAATTACTTTTTTGAATTGTATCAAATATTTAAAGTTAGAAAGTTATTCCTTATGTTCAGTTTGAGATAGTACGTTACTTTTGTTAATCTTTTTACGGCATACAAACTTTACTTGTACTTATCCATGTTAAGTTACCTCACTACTGATCATGTTAATTGTTATTCTGGTTGATGTTTCTTTGTCAATGAAAAATAATGTGCACAATATCCTCCATGAACTTTAATTAAATGTGTATGTTCAGACTGTCTTACTTTACTAATCTCATCAACTTACCTAGCTATTTTAGTCAGGATTATGTACTTATATATACATGTTTAATTGCCCGTACTTTGGAGGGCTACTAAATTGGAATATTTTGAAGAATGCAGTAATTTTTTTTAATCTTTTCAATCAATAAACTATATATATAACTTATTGTCTACATACCAATGCGAACAAGAACTTGCATTGTTCATAAATATTTAAGGGATTTTAATTCAACCTCATCAGAAACTGTACGTAATTTTCACAGATTTGTTTAGATTGGATATAAATTATGTTGACAAAATCAAAAAAAAATTGATAAATAAAAACTTACAGGTTACGGAAGGTTAAATTCATGTATAGAATCCACATCATTATCTTGATCACTCGGGTTGTCAATGTAGAATCTCTACAGAAAAAAATTCAATGTATTCAAAATGATTAATCTTGTAGTGGATGATGATAATTTTTCGAGGGGACGTTAGTCGTATGCTGTCGTCCAGCTTCAACTGCGCCCCCTCTAATCGCTGCCATCTGCGTGTTCTTATTTAACTTTGCTCTTCAAGACAATTCACTACTTTTTTTTGAACATGTGATACCTTAGGAAGCATGAATCAAATCAGATATAGGTTGTTTATATGCAATATTAAACAATAGCACATGCAAGATTGATTGGAAATATTTAACCGTCAATTAATATCAGTTCACCAAGAAATGTTACCCTCTCTTTATATATGCATTTAAATCAAAATTTCAACCACGCAACAAGATCGAAAATGTATTTAATGTGATCTTCAAGCAATAAGTTGTCTTTTCATAGACATACAAATACTAAAATCCAAGTTTTTGAGTAGGATTAAGATATGAAGTATCCTTTCTCTCCGAACTATTTTAGCGAGGGGCATATACAAACAATTGGCGACAACGAAGGTTGTGACCTACATGTACATTGAACGTCAATAAAGATTGTCATAAAGATTAATTCATGCTGTGGATGTAGGCACATTTTAGAGCTACTAATTGTCTTGTGTGTAAAAACAAGACTGATTGCATGATAAAGTCGCTCAAATGGGGATGCATTGAAAGATCTAGTATTTATAATAATGTAATACCTTTTTCATTCCTTGTTTTTATCTATTAATACATATTCACCATAAAATAATAATAATAAAGAATTTGTCATTGAATATGAACTTTGAAGAGAATGCAACAAATCTATGACTCTGCAAGGGTGCAAGTGAAAACGGCACCTGGTGAAATCAGCACTTCAAATGTATGCAATCGGCACTTAATTAAAGGCAGGGATTTAATACCGGGTGGTAAATACCAGGTGAGGGATGGGGCTTATTTTGAACAGGTGTGAATGCCTTAAGGGCTTGCAGTCTTCCTATGGTCTTTGTCTCCTAATCGCTATACACAGGAAATGATTTAATGCACAATACACAAATGAAATACACAAATAAATACCTAAGAAGTCGCCTGTGTTTAGGATTTCGAGACGATTTTGAATTAGAGGTAAAAAGTTGTTAATAAAATCATCTCAATAATTTACATTGATTTGTGTTTGAATGTGTGTCATAACGTCCCCATCTTTTATTAAATATAATTTTCGAAATTATTTGTTGAGCTCCGATTATGGCCATATTTAGAGTTACTTCCCGTTTGTATGAAAAATTGCGTGACCCAATAAATAGCATATGTAGCGAAAAATACGGAAAGATGCTTGCTTCCAGAGCGTTGAAAATATTTCTAATCAATTTAAAATTCTAATACCAGTAATTCACATATTAAAACTAAGAGATTAGTGTTTTAAATGTGAGTATATGACTTTTGTATTATTTTAAAAAAAACATTCTGGACAGTAACATGCCCCACATGGCGAGAAATGCTGTGTAGAAAAAACCTAAGTAATATATACAGGCGAATTATGTATCGAATCAGACTTTACACATTCATCTCCAAGATCCCATCTACTATATTGAAATAGAGGCTTGTTAGCATTTTGTAAATAAAAAATACTAATTAGGTTTATCCTTACCCTTGTCTCCATGTCTAAACATGCGTTAAAAATTGCTTATAAATTCTTATCCGAATTACGAAGCAAAATATCTGACCCATGTAATCATGATTAGAAACATTTATAAACATTTTTAAATTCAATTACATGACATTTTATGTTTAACATATTAAAATTAACTCGTTTGATGTCATCTTCTCGCAAGTTTTTCGGTCGATACAATGACATTGTCAGCATATATTTCATTGAGTCAAATGCTGACTGACGTTTTCCATACTAATTGATAGGCCATTATTTATACATTGAACTGTCTACGGATTTTTTCGGTTTTTGTTTCCCGATCATGACAAGAAGCACAAGGCGGGTGTGACCGGTCGCAGGGGATGCTCAGTCCTCCATGGCACCTAAATTTTGAGGTCCGTGTTTATTCTGCTCCAAATTTGTATCGTTTAATTGGACTTTCGAGATTGAATACTGTTCGTTATCTTCATACTTTATCCTACTTCATATCAAATTGATAAGCTATACCCTAGATTTAAAAAAATGCAAAATGGTATATAATTCGATTTATAAAGTAAATATAAACGTGTAAAATAATCATAAATACATTATTATGGTTTTGTTTTAAAGTAAAATACCACTGTCAATATGTACCATGATGAAGTATGGTTTTACAATTATATCATTCAGTTAAATACGCAGACATTTATGTGGATATCCATGTTTTGACTGCAATTAACAACACATTCTTTACTCTAATCAAAGCAATTTACAGTCATCAGAGAAAAGGTGTATAGTAATAACAAATAATAAATGATGCTATCTTGTTACAAGAGAGAGATTTTTCATAAAACACATACATGTATATACAAACGTACATCGTATATTATGCATATTACAGAAAAAGGGATGATATATTTTCAAAAATTGAGGAATTTTAAAATTGAATATTAGTTTTGTAAGCATTTATTGGGTGCCGTGAAAAGAAATTGCAATAATTTCAGAAAAAGAGAGATATTAAATGTTTTGCTCAATAATCTAAAAATACCTTACTATACTGGCAAAAATATGAAAATAGTCCAGAATCATCCCCATTACACAGTGTTTATACTAGGAATATAATTGTGAATTGAATTCCTACATTATAAATTTTTGATTCAAAAATATAATATAAATTATTTTGATACAAAAATGAAACTCTGTTATCTACTTGCAAAAAGCTTAAATTCTCATCCAAGAAAACAATATCTACTAATAAATATTTGTCAAAATTAATACTGGCCGGAAAATTCCCCTAGAAAGAAATAAAAGAATATGTGAACTAGGTAACTTAAAAACTGTGTAGAAGATAAATATCATTTCCTTACTGATTGTTTATTATATACCTGGGTCCGGTTGTTCAAAAGGTGGTTAAATTTAACACAGTGGTTAAGGATAACTATGTGTTAAACCTTAATCATTTGATTAGCTAACGCAGTGGTTAAATTCTGTTGTTCAAAAGCAATTTAACGCAATGGTTAGCTAACACTGTGTTAACATTGTGTTCACTGCTTAATCACTCAATAACCACTTGATTACCCAAAATGCACCTCTCTTCCTTTGTAAACAATCATGGCTGACAATCCTGACATCGTCTGCTCAAAAAAGAACAGGAAAGCAAGAAGCACCAATTTCTCATTAACAGAGATAGAAATTATTAAAAATCAGGTGAAACTCCATCCTATTCTGGAGGCAAAACATAGTAATACTGTTACTAATGCTAAGAAGCAAGCCATTTGGCTTGAAATAGTTAGAAAAGTCAATGCTGTGGGGGTGGCAAAAAGGAGTTTGACAGAAGTCAAAGATAAATGGCGTAATATGTGTCGGGAAGCAAAATTGAAATTTACGGAAAACAGGAGACAAATGACAAAAACAGGAGGAGGGCCTCCACCTACCCCTCTTTCCCAAACAATGCAGGATGTGGTGGACATGTACAGGGATGCCAGTTCCTTCCACGGGATTGAAGGGGGCATTGAAACTTCAATGCCTGGATGTTCTGGTAAAATATGGCTTTTATGTGTTAAATAACAAAAATTTTATCTAATGTGCTCGTTATCTCTATATTTTATGTTTATTAAATAAGAAAATAAAGTAAAAAGATTATAACAGTGTTCATATTACACCAACAATACAGTTATACACACATTGTGACACTGTACACACATTTCAAAGATTTTACTCTATTTAACTCATTATATAATAATACTTTATTAATTCAATATAAAATACTACTTTGACCTAAAATTTTGTAATTTAATTTGAATAAAACAGTGATATGTGTCAAAATAACAAGGAACATTTTCGTCTGCTCGAAGAAATGACATCTTATTGTTAAAATCTATATTTTAGACCTAAAAATGATTGGGTATTTTATTTTTGTTGTTGTTTTTCTTCTTTTAATAGGCCTTATAAATTTTTATAATTATGTGTTTGAATAGGTATATTGACAAGTTTCCTAACCTTCTTTCGATTTTGTTTACAATAACACGACCTTGACCTTTTCATGGGGATATGCAAATCGAAAATAATCATAACATTTACTATGCATGTAGGATTGTGAACGAAAATGTAGTTTTTTAGTTTTAAAGAATGAATAATGATCTTAACATTCTCTTTTTTAAGCTTTCATTTGTGTTGTTAAGGTCAAAATGAAAAATAAGAGGCGAACTCACCATCACCATGTGCTTTCATCTTTCTAATTTTTTCCATGTTAAAAGTTTGATTAGCTTCGCACAAAATATGTTTCTTATATCTTGAATGATTACATTTAATTATTTTAGATAAGATTAAATATGTGCTCGTAGTAATTTAACTATGTAAATGTGAAGATTGGAGGTACGGAGATCAAATGCGAAATCAAGACACGTGGATTGTTGACGTTCGTGAATCGGAGTCGATCCAAGTTTGTTTTTTTTTTTTTTTTTAAATCCGAAGAGCCTCAAAAACTACATTCACCCAATGTTTTAGTAAACATGGTGTTATTATGGAGGGGGTATAAATGAATTTTAAGAGAAGTAATACCCATCTAATAAACAAAATTCCCTTGGGGTGGTTGGGGGGGGGGGGGGAGTCCCCAATGTTGAATTCTTGCTTTGTCTTTTCCTTAGGACAACTCTGTCACTCTAAGCAAAAAAAGTTTTGAAATTTTTCTGATCTCAAAAATGCATATTTATACATGTGGGTTTGTATCGATTAAAAAAGAGAGAAGGAAAGAAAAAAACAAATATCAGGAAAAAAACCCCCAAAGAAATCAAAAACAAACAAAATGATGAAAAATAAATAAATGAATAATAAATATACATGTGTAGATTATAGAAAATTATATATTAATCATATTTTCACTCATACAATATATATGTGTACTAATTATAAAAAGTAATTATAATTTTAAAAAAATATATAAATAAATAATCTGATGAATTTATGCTGCAAGTACTGCTGAAGCCACACACTACCCATGTGTATAAAAATGACTAATAATGAATATTTGTTTTCTATAGTATAATCCTCCATGGCAGCATCTCCCACTCAGACTGTAACTAAGGATCAACATGATATGGACATATGGCAAGATGCTTGTGAGGACCTTCCTGTGCCCTCCCAATCCCCTATCTCAGCAAGTCAAGCCTTCATTGTCATGGAGACGCCCTTAGAGGAACCCCTTTCCCCACCTAGTCCACCAAAACAACCAAGTTCATGTAAATTGCAGCTATATAATTAAATATTTGTCAGGCTCTCAATTGCTTAAGCAAGAAAAAAAATTAAAAATTAAGTAAAAGAAGGGGACAACAATTTAAGAGTCAGAAAGACTTATAATTAATTTACCGGTATAAAGACCAAGGATGATACTCAGGTCCATTTCCTTGTGAGAGGCATGTTTAATTACAACAATTATATAAATTAGATTGGATACTCATATTTTTCTTATATGAAACTGTAGCAATTTAAATGCACCAATCCCCTCTTGAAGCTAAACATTGACTGATTTCATGTTTATTTTAAACAGCATTGCCTAGCTGTAGTAGAGACACAAGGCAGTATCCATATCAAGGAAAGGAGAAGTAAGGTTACTCTCTCTCTCTCTCTCTAAATTTTCCTTTCTCATACCTGTACTGGACCAGTATATAAATTGTACAAGAGTATCACAAAAAATAAAGAAAAAAAAATGTTGACAATTTTATATCTACATTTTTTTAATCCATATATACATTTACATGAAGTATCTGTATAAAGTACATAAAATAGTCATAAAAATTAATAGACTAAATCTACTCATGACTATCTCACTATAACATACAATGTCAGAATACATTTCCTTAAAAAAATCACACATTGTCTATTTAGATTTTTTTTCAAAGAAAAGAAGTGATTTATTTTATTGAAAAATCAAAATTATTTCAGGGAGAAGCGCAAGTGTGGGAAAAAGTCAGTGGAAGATGTTTACAGGTTGCAGTGTGAAGTGCTTGAGGAGGAGAAAGAGAAGATCAAGAAGGAAAAGGAAAAGCTGGATCTGCAAATTCAACTTCTTCATTCAATTCTTAAAAAACAGGATTATGACCAGACAGAGCTCTTTGCCTCCTTCATGTAAACCAAATAATGCTTTAATATTATAACTGCCAAGCTTTCCATTTATTACATGTACTTAGTCCCCTAGTCTCTGATATCTGCATATAACTATAGGAGTAGGACTCACCCAATCTTAATTTAATTAATTTTTCACCCTAAAGTGAATGTATATAAACATCTCCATTCATATTCATTATTGCATGCCTCCCACTTTCAAAGTTTAGGGGAAATTGAATCTTATTCATCTGTCCGTCCGTCAGTCTGTTACAAAAATTTTAACTTTGGCCACAACTTTTGCTCCAGAAGAGATGTCCTTTCACTTTTTTTCATATGTGCATTATTTGTGTTATTGATATTTGATAAATTTTAGTAAAATGTGATATAAAAATAGAAACATACATTCTCCCAGAATTGAAAATTCACATGTAAATATCCTACACTTTAAGTTCTCTTTAGAGAAAATGTATTACATGTATTCATTTTTATAAAAAAGTCAACAAAATGATGGAAATGGATATCAGATCATAATGACTGTCAAAATGTGGAAATTGAACCATTCTTTTCAGATATTTTGGCAGTTTAAACAAAAAAATCAATACCAAAAATTTTAAAGATTCAGTAGTTGATGCCACAATATTTGACCTTTGATCTGTTAACATAACCTTAACCTTTATTGTACATAAAGAAGGAAGACTCCTTATATATATGTCCAAAGATCAGACGTGATCTTCCATTGAACTGTCAAAATCCTGGAATTTGCCAGTACTCGACCATAGAGCAGCAAATGATGGGGGGTGGGGGGGACCAGCATCTCAAGAAAATTTTAGTATACTAAAATTCACTATAATTTACTATAGCAAAATACTATACTTTGATAAAAGTGAGGGGGCCAGCCCAACACTTTCTATGGGCCTGCATTTATATTGCATAAACATATATTTAAAATGTAGGGTCCCAAGTGACCAATATATAGAATGTCTCTAACATTTTTAAACAAAATACATGTATGCTCTCAAAGATTATAGATTATTGACAATATAGTGATATCATTCTTTTTTTTTCTTGTGTAATTGATAAAAAATGAGGTAAAAAGGATTTCATGGGTGTTTTGTACTACATATAAGTACCTTAATTCAAAATTTTAAAAATCTTTTTTGTAAATCAAGAGTGGGAGACCATGATTCTCTAAATTTGCTTGTTTGTATTGTTCCTTACAGTTACCAGTAACTGTTTATTGTTATGGAATGTGCTTAAAACTTTGTTTCACTGTATGAATTCAGTGCAAATTTTAATTGTTTCAGAACATGCTAGCTATATTGTGATATTTGGAGTGGAAAGTTTACCTGTTACCTGTTTGTTGCATTCAGCATAATATTATATTAATTAAGGTATCCATTTTATCTTTATACCTTTGTTGACCTGTGTATACAATTGTTAAACTGGTACAATTATCACTGGTTAAATAAAATGTTACATATAAAGTTTTCTATCATTCTTATTTAAGGTACATGTATTAATCTATAAAAAATAAATTTAATTAACTCTATGCATATCAGACATATACTACTTGTTTCAATACTCTCTCTCTCTCTCTATATATATATATATGAATATTTACATTTAAACTATTGGTATATAGTGTTTGAGTATGTGTGCATTAATTGGTGACCTTAAAATTGACCTGTTATTGAAGAGTTATCTCCTCTTGATTTTAATCATAATATAGAAAGTGAAGTATACAAAAACACTGGTCAATGAAATCAGACTCTCTTAATAACTAAATGAATCAATCTCTTTCCATGGAATTGTTTTGGTAATTTATTCCTTTTCTACTATTGATGCTTCATAATATTTTTTAGCATATTTCATGGCCTAAGGGATAATAATAATAATATGAAATTTAAATCCTATTATGGGTACAATTCTTTAAATGTTAAAAAAAACAGTTATTAGCTGAAGTAATGCTGCTTCACATAGTCCCGCACTCCTCTTCCATCTTGAGGGCCTTGAAAGGCAGGCATCTGGGGCTGGTCCTCTTCAACTTCATCCTCATCCTCAGGCTCTCCAAGGTTGATGGCGATGTTGTGGAGGACAGCACATGCTATGATGATTCTGCATGCCCTGTCAGGTTTCATTCGGATCTACACAAATCAAAATGCATTTGAAGTGTAAATTTACATGTATACAAAAAAAAAATGGGCATGAAATATAATTTCTTTCACTATAAATTGCACTATTAAATGTTGGTGACAAATATACTAGAATGTTTAATATTAAGATACCTCTGAGTGGAGAACATGAAACCTCCGCTTAAGTCGCCCAAAGGTGCGCTCAATTTCACTTCTCGTTCTTGCATGGGCTTGATTGTACTTCTCCTCAGGTTCATTCTGGGGATTGGCATAAGGAGTTAGAAGAAATGGTCTGCAAGCATATCCACTGTCTCCCAACAAAACTCCATTTTCAAATAGACCATTCTCCTCCTCCTCCAAATATGTTCTGATCTGATAATTAAATAAATATTATCAGGCTTTTCTTATGCTAGATTGCAATATTCCAAATCAACCTCCAAAATCTAATAGTCATTAGACTCTCAATATTAATGCATATGATGAGAGAACGAAAGAGAGATAAAAATCATGAAAGAGATATAATGTGCCTCTAATATGAGAGATTATGGAAGTTAGAGAGAGAGAGAGAGAGAGAGAGTGAGGACATATGTTGCATGGTGAAGAACATTCTTAAAATATCATAAATATATAACACGGGACCTATAGGTCCCTGATATTACTTCAATACCTGTGATGTTCTGAAGATGTGGGAATCATGTACAGACCCAGGCCAAGATGCATTGATGTTTGTAAGCTTTCCTGCAATAAATGTTATAATATTCAGTTTAATGTAACTGAATTGATTTAAAACACACTTTGTGTGAGGAAGGGGGGGGGGGGACAGGTGGTGCATGATTTAATAGCAATATAAATATGGAGGACAGGCTTTATTCTTTAAAATTTCTGTTTTTCATTTAAATACAATATATTATTATTAATAATGGAACATTCTACTAGTCAAGAGAAACATAATAATTATTATTGATCATGCATGTTTCAGGATTTTTTTTTTCAAAGCTTGCACTAGTATAGGGATTGGAGCTGATTAATGTGCAAAATAATTCAGTTTCTCAATTTTCCTATAAATCAAAGGTCAATTTTATATATTTTACCAAGATATATTGCAGTGGTAATAAATAATCAGATACCTATTATACCGGTAATAGGACCCCATTTTAATTACCTAAAAAATCCATGTGAAAGTACTTGCATGTCCCAAATTCTATGTTGTAAATTCAGAAACCAAATAATTAAAAAAAATTCAATGAACAAATATATCAAGACTAGATTGTATATAAAGAAAGGCATATAGGACTTTAATTATTTTTTAAATTATTTTCAGGGACCTATATACTAACGTTAGTATATAGATCCCTGTTATTTTTAATATTTAAATTCTGATATGAATCTCTTTTTTAATTTTTATTTAAAAAAATGAAATTGAATTTATTTTCTTGTACATGTAGGGTCCAGTCCCAATACAATGATGTCTTCTTGATTGTAGTGAAATAAATAATCAAAGGTTGGATCCGCCACATTATTTTTCGAAGGGGAGGTTAATCTAGATTACATGCATATATCACTTTAAAAAATCATTTAAAACATTGAATGTACAACTAATACGATAATAATGAAAGAGGGCTTGTAGAAGGAGGATTGAAAAACCTCTGAATTCATTGTATCTAGAAATTATAAATTTTATGACATTAAAAAAAAAAAACATCGAACGAAAATGACACAAGGGGCCTTTGAAAGGTCAGTGATAGATACCTTCGTGGTCACATACAGCTTGGACATTGATGCTGTGAAATCCTTTCCTATTCACGAAGGAATTTTCGTCGTGTGAAGGGGCCTGGATCCGTACATGAGTCCCATCGATGCACCCGATTACATTGGGGAAACCTGCCATCCGGTAGAAGCCCGTTTTGATAGTAGACTTTGCTGTTGCGTCGGGCCATTTTATAAATGTGTCAGCTCTAGCAACCAGTGCTTCTGTGACTCTTTTAACGGTGCGAGAGACTGTACTTTTGTCAAACCCTGTTCAAATTTGAGTAATCTGTATATATTTTTTTCATTATGGATAGACTATTTAATCCGCGTTTTACGTTTAATACATGCGATATATACCCATGAAATTTTCCATGCACTGTGTCATTATTATTTTTAACTTTAATTAAACTTCATTTTTAACATTTACATAGTGTATGTACTGTATTCTATTAATTGTACCTAGGGTGTCCCCGACAACCTGCAAAAAACTACCACTTGCAAGGTAGCGCAAGGTTATCATTACTTGATTTTGGACGCTAAGTGCGCTGTTCCTTTTAGTGGCTCTTTCTAAATCATTTCTGATGACATCCCCAATAAAATTTATGCCATGTTGACCAAATCGGTACCTTCTTCTTAATTCTTCATCAGACCAACCGTCTATATTTGTGTGTAGTCTAAAAACACGCTGTTTTCTGGGTCCAGGCGGATGAATAAGAAAATTAGCGGCCATATTTAATCACGGTGTTAACTTCTTAATCTACCTACCGTAGGTGGATTAAATTTAACACAGATTTAACACCTTGTTAACACAAACACACCTTTGAACAACACTTAATCATGTGGTTAAATTTAACACACTTGTTAACACAGAGATAACACTGTGTTAAATTTAACCACCTTTTGAACAACCGGGCCCTGGTATTTTGGAAAGAAAATGTTTTAATGTTGTCTACAAGCTCAACTACAACTACATGTACCTATATGTAAGAATTAAGCTTTTTTTTTTATTGTTCATGATTAACGAAAAGGAACCAGTAGGTTAAACTGTTTGTAAAAAGAGCTGATGTCATAAAATTATAAAAATGTACCAATACTTTACTAGTATTACATTGGTGCTACATGCCATTAGTCCGGACGCGGCACCTTCCGGACGAAATTTGTTGTTAAAGGGACATATACAGATTTGTAGTTAATATTTACTCCAATTTTCTGTATAATATCATGACTTATATATTGCTATAGCATTTTACAGGAAAAATATAATAAAAACGTATTTTATCTGGAAATTATTGGAACTACGAATTTCGGCACGCATTTGATTGACACATCCTTGCACTTTCACAAAGTAAACTTTATCCTTAATACTTAAGAAAATAGAAATTTTGTTATGTATTAATATAAAAATTTAAAGATGTACTCCAGAAAATTCATAGTAGAAATGTGAGAAAGCAAAACCAACTCACCAGTATTGCCAGTCCGTGTTCAGTGATGTGTGCAGAGTCTAACAAATTGAACACACCGGTAAAATATAAACATGAACAATAACAGAGAT